TTAATTTACTTACTGCATAAGCTATATCTAGGCGAGTGCAGTTCATCAAGTACATTAAGTTTCCAATAATTTGGGTATACTCTAATTGAGAAATACTTTCCTGTACATTCTTAGATATAAACAAATTAACATCTACAGGTGTTCTAGCAAGATGATCATCATCTTTGCTGAATTTGTTAAGTATTTTCTCAATGTAATTAGATTATGACAAAACATAACCTTCAAGTTTTGCTAAATTAAAAATTCTCTACCTTTAATTTTTTTTTTAATTTTAAAATGATTTTTAGGGTTAAATTATGTGAGAATTTGAAGTTACAAAAATCTTAAGATATAATCTGGTAATGGTAATGTTTTGAAACAGAAAAATTGAGAGATTTGTATATTTATAATTATGTCATTCTCTTTTCTTTTTCTCTTTTTAAAGCTAAAAATGAAAACTCCTATTCCAATTTAATATTTAAAAAAATTGGCTTATCGTAGTTGATTGATAATCTATTTCCAAGAGAAGCTCAACTCTATTTTAAATTCAAAAGGTTAATATGAAGCTATGTATAGATAGTTTGATTTCAAAGTTAACAAAAAATGAAATTGAATTTTATAAAAGCATAAGAGATTAAATTTATTATTAGATGGATTGAGAATTAAATAAAAGATTAAGTAAACATAAAAGGTATTTTTTTTAGGAATTCTGTAAAATAAAAATCTTAAATATGAATGATTTTAGGGAAAATTAGTGTACGGTCCCTCTCTCACTTTTCATAATGGAAGAGATCCACAAAATTATTTTCTGATGTCTAAGACCCTAAACATATATCAGAGAAATTTGTCTCTCCTCTCTCTCTCCTCTGCTCCTCCACTCTTCTCTCCACCATCCTCTACGACATCTTCCTCAACACCTTCTCCTCCGACTCCTCCCTCAGCTCTACCACCGTCAGCCGGTTGAATCCGATGAGGAAGAAGAGACTTTCTTCGATTTGGAATTTGCTGTGCTAGGTTCTGACGAGAAGGAAGACAAGGACGATGGTTCGGACACTGACGAAGATTCGTACAACGATTTGGCTATAAAAAGGACGGCGTGATCGAGTCCGATTTCGTTGAATCTCCTAATGATGTGTTTTTTAAAGGAACCAAGCATTTGTCTCCGATTTCGTTCCTGAGATCTCCGCTGAAGTTTCGTGTGTTTATGCTGTTTAAGAAGCCGAAATTGGAGAAAATCGAGTCCGTCGATGCGTCGCCGGCGACTCACCAGCAAAGCAAGCGTTTCGCTGAGAAATGTAAGGTTGAGGAAGTTTCGATTTTCTCACTGCTTGCGAGAGTGAACAGTTCGAGAAGCAATTCACGGAAGCAGAGCTCTGAGAATGGTTCGTCGAAGCGTTTCGCCAAGGATGTAGTCCAGAAGTATCTGAAGCTTTTAAGGCTAAATCCTCACATGAAGAACCAAAGGAATGGCAGGTTTGCAGTGGCAGTGAAAAGCTGATTCAGATGATCCATTATCAGAAAGAAATGGTAAATCACGATCACCTGAACTGAATTTTCTCTGGGTTGAAACCAGAGAAATTCTCTAGTTTGAATTGAAATTTCTCTGGGTTGGTCCGGAGAAATTTTCTGGCTTAAAGTGAATTTTCTCTAGATTGGTCCAGAGAAATTCTATGATTTGAACTGAATTTTCTCTGGGTTAATCCAGAGAAATTCTCTGGTTTGGCGGAGAATTTAGTTTCTTCGACAGCTATGATTTCTGGGTATGCCCGAAGTGGATGAAAATCGGAAGCTATTGAACTCTTGCGTGGTATGGCGGAGAAGAATTTGTTTTCTTGGACGACTTTGATATCTGGGTTGGTACAGAGTGGACAATGGATTGATGGGTTTAATCTCTTCATTGAAATGAGGAGAGCAGGGGTTGATATTGTAGACCCTTTTATTCTTTCAAGCATTGTTGGAGCCTTAGCTAATTTAGTAGCATTGGAGCTTGGAAAACAGATTCATTGCTTAGTTTTATCTCTTGGTTATGAATCTAGTTTATTTGTTAGTAATGCACTTGTTGATATGTATGCTAAATGTAGTGACATACTAGCAGCAAAGACCATTTTTGATACTATGTGCCGAAGAGATATAGTTTCTTGGACTTCAATTATAGTTGGGATGGCCCAGCATGGACGAGCAAACGAATCATTGTCACTGCATGATGAGGTGATTTCAGCTGAATTTTCTTTGGTTTTTTAACTGAATTTTCTCTAGGTTGAAACCAGAGCAATTCTTTGGTTTTTTAACTGAATTTTCTCTGGGTTGGTTCAGAGAAATTCTTTGGTTTTACTGAAGTTTCTTAGGGTTGATCCAGAGAAATTCTTTGGTTTTTAAACTGAATTTTCCCAGTTCAAGAATTTCAGTATTATGGAGATCCAGGTAGATTTCGGCAAATCATCACAAATCTTATGGGTAATTCAATCAAGGTAAGTATGCATCAGCTTCTCAAATTTCAGTCCAACAACCCAGAGAAAATTCAGACCAACCAAACCAGAGAAATTCTCTAGACCAACCCAGAGAAAGTCAAGAGAAAATTCAGTTCAGACCAAAGAAAATTCAGTCTAAACCAAAGAATTTCTTTGGACCATGTAAACAAACCCATGGTGGTAACGCTGCAAATTCAAACAGGTGAAGAAATTATGAAAATATTGAGAAATTTTCTTTGGACCAAATTTCTCTGGACCAAATTCCTCTGGATCAATTTTCTCTGGACCAATTTTCTCTGGATCAACTTGAGGGACTTTAGACATTATGAAAATATTAAGTGTCCTTTATGCTGTAAAGTCTTAATACCAGGGACCTGAAAAAAAATTCCCCATGATTTTAAATAGTTATTTTTTTTTATTATCATTTCAAATTCATTATGACAAAGTTCTCACATTCAATTTTGCTGAATATAAATTATTAAATTTAAATTTGAGTTATTTACTAATAAATAGTGTCAAAACAAAAAAATCAACTAAGATACCTGAATTTGTCTAGTTGATATTTATCATTTGGAAATTGATGCACTAATAATAAACATGAGTGAAGATATTGACACCTCATAAATTACACACTAAATTATCCTTCTCTAAAATGGGGAGTGGGACCAACAATATTGGAGTAATTTAATGTGTAGTTTAGTTAATTACGATTGATACAATACTTAAAATATCATTGGCATGGATCATTTTTAATTTATAAATTTAATTACAAAATTTGAAAAAAAATGATTACTTTTGCCTATTTATGGGTGCCGTAATTCACTGTTGGATCTCAATCTCACCTAAAAGTTGGATATTGTGTCTTAATTTTAGCAACTAACTCCGAAAGTAAGCTGCCAACTAAGGACAATTCTTAGGCCAAAGGGCCTCTTAAGTGTTAC